ATTTGGTTGTGTGGAGCTAGGGTCCTTCTTTAAGTTATAAAGTTATAGCGTAATATTTAGCAAATTCATCATTAATGTTGTTTGGGGTAATTACTTTTCCTCCGAAGGGAAAAATTACATATGATATTCTTTCTTGGGCCTGACCTTCCTTTAAACAGGATGTTATGCTACAGCATAGTCGCTATAAGGTTATACAATTGTTATCACTTACAAAGAGTATGGGGTGACAGGTCCATATAGATTTGGATATCTATGTGTTCATCTGACAGGCTTTTGATGGTTCAGCTAGATCTCAGTATGGCTTCTTTAATCTGAAAATAGTGTAGCCTTAATATAATGTTGTGACAAAACTATGTACTTTATTCTCCCAGTTACCTTCCCTACGTTCAGTAGATAGATCTACCAAACACCGACCACCCCCCTTGCTCATTAACTTCAAATAAACCACAAACTTAAGTGCTCTCTCTGTGTGGCCGGAGAAAACAGCAGCCATCTTGTCGCATGAAAGCAGGCAGCGGGACTTGGTCGTCAAGTGTCTGGAACTCTAAGTCGGGCACATGACCTCGCAAACACAGGCAAATTCACACGAACACCTGCTTCTTTCCACAACAAGCCAGGAGAGCGCTGTTCAGTAGGATTGTTCGCCCGAACAAGGCGAACAATCGCTACCTATGAGCCAGTGGAACCGTTCATCTTTTTTGTTCATTTTGGAACTCCTGAAATTGACCGACCACTACCACTAATTGTATAGAACTAATTTGGGCAGGCGCCACATGTGCGGTCGGTTCAAATTTTACCCCGGTGGCGATTCGGCTGTGTTCGTGGCATCCACGCGCACAGATCCAAGCTATCTGGGGATATAATATTTGTGGGGCTTCTTCTATGTATTATGTATTATATGTATATTTTATGTTTTATGATTTGTAACTCTAGTGCCTGGGAGATAATTAGTTTAAGCAAAGTATACTAAATTATCTCCCAGACACATAGACTCCATGGCGTGTTATGGGAGTGTAATGGGCGTGTTATGGGAGGGTTATGCTATGTCCTTGCTTGAAACCCCCTGCTGGGGGTCCATGTATAAAAGTGGGCCATCTGGCCATAATCAAACATTCCTGTTGTACCCTTCATCAATAAGAGAATAAATAGTTGCAGCGCACTCAGACTACAAAAAAATATAATACAAAGAAGGCTACTAAAATGCCTATCTGAGAATAAATATGGGGATATTAGTTCCACCATATGGCCATATGTTGTTAAGCCCACCACTACTTTCAAAGTACCCCAATATTGGTGGGTCCTACGCTAAAAATGTGGGGGACAAATTAAATAGTACTAGTGTTAAAATAACAAGTGTTAAATTAAATCCTAATAAGAGCATAGTGAGTATACAAAAATAAGTGATGAAAGCAATTAAAAACAGTGTTAAAACTAAACAAATAATGTGTAAGTGCTAAAATGAGTATACTCACTAATGCAGATGATATCTGTGCTGACTAGAGAAAATAATAAAAGTGACTTGACTATTGAAAAACTCCTCCTATATATACACACCTGTGGCCACCTCTAAAGGAGCCTCTGAAGCTGGGGGGGCCTGGGCGGGGTGCTTAACCCCTAAGGAATCTGGTCTGGATTCCAAATATAATGTATACAGAAAAAGGATAGGGGGCACTCCCGGGACCTGAATTTTGCATGAAAGGTGCTGCCGAAGTGACCAAACTTCATACATAAGAGAATAAATAGTTTCTGCGCACTCAGACTACAAAAAAATATAATACAAAGAAGGCTACTAAAATGCCTATCTGAGAATAAATATGGCATGGGAGTGCCCCCTATCCTTTTTCTGTACCCTTCATCAAGTCTTGTTTGATGTTTGGGTATGCGAACAACGAACCGCTGGATTTATTCTCAGACTAACTTGGATTTCGGGAAAGTACGAATCAGCATACTATGCGAACGGGCTATAATCACTAAGTCCCAAGCATTTCGGGAATATACGAATGATCAGTGTATACTAAGGCGTTCGTTACAAATGTCTCTAGGAGTTGATGGTGACAATTTAGACTTGGGATCCTATGAGCCCAATCTACTAATACCATTTCACCCCGTATACCTAGGTTTAAAAAGTGAAAAGGTCTTGTAGGTAAGGCCTGCAGTCTCCAGCACACCTACTATCTCCAGCACATCTTGTATGTGTAAATTTATTTTGCATGACCAGTCTCCTAGGTCTTCTAGATATGATGCTCTTGGGAGATATGAAATGGTAACAAACATGCACTTGTTATTTCCCACTGAAATTATTAATACCTTCTGTTTGCAGCCTTAAACCTGCCCAGGCTTCCCCTCTACAGTCTGTAAAGAACACTTCTTTCAGACTCACCTAACTTATATCCAGCAACTCTCACACCTGACCCCTCTGCCAATTTCCGGCTTCCTGTTTAGGATATGGTTAAAATGTATCATGCTTACTTACAAAGCTCTCCATAGCCAGATATGCTCTGGCTCGGCCTCTCCACTGATGACGGGCTACCACCCTGTTCTTGCAACCACACCCAAGACTCTTACCTGCAGGATTTCTACAGGGTTGCCCTTCCTTATGGAATGCCTTCCCACAGCACATTTGACTCTCCCAGTTTTTGAAGTTCTTAAAAAAAAATCCTTCAGCTCTCCCATTAACTCCTCATTCTATGCCATTTCCAATCTACTAATTTTTCTTCCTTCCAATCCACCACACCATCCCCCAGGTATCAGTTAATGCACTTTGTGCATTTCTCCTTAATCCTTTTAGATTGTAAGTTTGTTTGGGCAAGGCCCTCTTTCCCTACTGCCAAAAGATAGGGAAGAGGGGTGTCCACCCGAAGGCCAAACTACACCCCTTGCCCATAATCTAAGAATCCCATGGTGACTAGAAATTTCATCCTGGCGCCTGGGATTTGTCTGCCGTGTAGGTAAAGCGGCTGGGCATATAATGGAGCGGCCGGCCGCCCACCCTGGGGAGCTTGGAGGTGGTCGTCTTAGGTAGCATAGTAGCCGGTCGCCCTTCCTCTGTCAATGTTTGTGTGTATGCCTCTGTGTACTATTACGCCCTATTCTAAGCGGCTCTAAATGCCGCAGGGCGTAATAGTACACCCTCACGGTTTTTGTTACTTACCCGGTCACTGGTGATCCCACGCCGGCACTTGCGGTCGGGAGACTCAGGGAGTAACTGGCGATGGATCCTGCCTCCTCCTCAAAACACAGGAGTGCCTGGATTACTTTTCTACTAATATATTGACCGTTAAAATGTCATGTAGAACTAAAAAAAATAACAACATTTCTTATTTTCTCCCATTTTTTTCATATTAAAATATGTTTCATAGCTAAATATTTGATGTTAAATGAAAGCCCTGTTTCCCCTGAATAAAATGATATATAATAAGGGTGGGTGCATTTAATATGAAAGAGGTGAATTACGGTTGGACAGACATGTGGCGCAAATGCCAGGTTTTGTTTACGTTTTGTTTTGTTCACAACGTGTACATTTGGCTCAGTCCTTAAAGGGTTAAGTGTTAGATTACTTTATTTACACAGCCCTAGTCACACTAACCTGCATGTGACTTGCACAGCTTTCCTAAATACTTCCTGTGAAGAGAGATCAAAACGTTAAACTTCCTTTATTGCACAGTGTGTTTAATTTAGAATTTCTTATCTCCTGCACAGTTAATGGCTTTCTAGACATTGCAGTATCCTCCTGTGTATGATTAAAGTTCAGTTAACAGAGCAGGAGATAAATCTTCCAAAGTAAAATCTGAAACCATTTTATTCATGAAAGCTGTGTCAGTCACAGCCATGGGTGGTGTAGCTAGGGCTGCATAAACAGAAATACAAGTGATTCCTAAATGTGAGAATAGAGCAGTGTGACAGCAGGGGAATGATCTATACTCCAAAACTGCTTCATTAAGCTGAAATTGTTTTGTTGACTATAGTATCCCTGTAAGTGCGCCAAGTCCAAAAGATTAGGGGCAAAGTTCACGGAGAGGGTCAGGTTTAAATTACAGAGCTGGAGCCTAGCAAAAAAAATGTCACTATCTGCCATGCTTATACATATGGGATTTTTCTTGTATGCCCTTTTAATCATCTCTAGCTGGAATTGAAATGGTATAGAATGCCCCTGCAGGCTTTTTGCTGTGAGCACTGCCTTTTTAGAGAAAAGGCAGTGTTTACATTAAAGCATAGGATCACCTCTAGTGGCCATTCCTCAGACAGCCTGGAGGTGCTTCCTGGGTCAGTGCACAGTGTGCAGCACTGATGTTCAGGGTAGAGATGCATTGATTCCTATGGCAAAGCATTGTGATAGGCTGAAGTCATCAATTCTGATTATGTCAGCCAAGGAGCACGACTTGGGGCGGAGCACTGAGACACATTTACCATACTTCCCAACTGTTCCTATTTAGGAGGGATGGTCGCTATTTTTGGCCCAAATCCCTCTGGCTATATTTTCTACCCTTCTTTTCTTGTTAGTGTGTCGGAGTGTATAACAAAGCACCACAACAATAATACTCCAAGTTATATGTCTGTAAACTACAAGAAATGTGTTTAGAAATCAGTATAAACAGTGTATCAAAAAGTGTAAATCAGTATAAACAAAATACATTGTTCAATATATCAGTGTATTCAGTTGTTCAGATCATGTGGTAGTCGTGGCCGAGTGGTTAAGGCGATGGACTAGAAATCCATTGGGGTCTCCCCGCGCAGGTTCGAATCCTGCCGACTACGGATCGAATTTTTGGATTTAATTTATTTCTAAATTACCATAATTGAATTACTATATTTGAACATATTTCGCTAAACCTATTTTGTTTATTGTCAATCAGAGCTGCACTCCCTTACTCATACACTCATTCCCCCTCCCCTCCCAAGAAGGAAGGCAATCGTTACAATCATACTACGCATGCTCAGTTTGCCCTAAGGCATTATGGTCCAGTGCGGCTTCCATACAGTACTTTTGTCGCTTAGCAACCGCCTGAACTGTGAGAGCCAGTTGATTTGTGAGGGCCCCTATGATGGAGGATGACCTGGACCGGCTATTGGACGAAGTGGAGACCAAATACTGCGGGTCCGGGGCCGCGGGCAGCACTGAAGGAAGGAATCAGAGGGAGCCCAGCAGGTCTGACAGTGTTATTGGGATAATATGGCTGCTTCCTGCTAGTAAACACGTCTCGTGGGGGTTATTTAGCATGTACTACAATGTGTGACTGTTCATTAAGGGGTGATCAGCCCTGCGTGCCCTCTCAGACCCTGTAATATGGGGTCCCTGTGCGCTGGCAATCTGTGGACTCAATTTCCCATGATGCTCAGCCAAACAAATCAGTGACAGAGCATCACGGGAAATGTAGTTCACGGCAGCTGTGCTAGCAAAGGCTGTGCATCACTGTTTTAGCATGAGCTCTGGTTTCATAAGATATTTTAATATATATATATAATGATATAAAAGAATGTATCTGAGCTCTAATACATTTTGGACAGTTTTTTTTATTTTATTTTTTTTTACAATTTTAGGTTTAATAATTTATAATGGGTATGCTAAGCAAATATTTATTCTCCAAATTTTCTCATCTTAATAAAGATCCCTCCCTATTTGGAAGTTTCAGATTTGTATTTATTTATTTATTCATTTATTTGCAGATGTAAAAAACCTGTTAAAAAGGCATGTGCTGAAGATGAGAATATTGATGATTTGATTGAAGATATACTCAATGTACACTGCAAGGAGGAGAATAAGGTAATTTTAATAGTAAATGGATTAATAATTCAGTTTGCATCATAAATATAACCCCACTTCATGTTAAGTGAGATTTCCAATAATATCTCCATCCAATAAGATCTACTAATAATGAGATGATCAACTGTAGTATGGAAAAAATGAAATCAGCATGAAACATTATTTCCTCTGCAGTACTCATATTTGATAAGCTTCAACATCACACAATACTGTTTTTTTTTTTCCTTAATTAGATGCACTCATCTACTCAACTCATGAATGTTTTTATACTACTCCTTGGGATGTACAGTGCATGCGCAGCAATCGTTCCAGTTGAAATCAATACTTCTGCCGATGGTACCCTCTTGGCTTGTAAAGATAATACTTGAAAAAAGAAAACCAAAAAAAAAAGTTACATGCATTGAAAGTATATTTCAGTGCCCTGCTAAGGAGTTCTGCCTGTACAGCAGACGTTTACGGGATATGTAGCTTTTCCTGTGGAATAGTTATTCACCACATTGGATGAGGAGTACAGCTCCGTAAATTGATGGTAGCCACACTACTACTGTTATTAGTTTACAAATGTTTAAAAATGTTTAATGAATCAAACTATAGCTAGCTGTGATCTGTGGCACTCTCTTCTGGGAGTAGAAAGTGTTCAGACCAAGTTAAAGGAACACTATCGTGTTAGTAATACAAAAATGTATTCCTAATGCTATAATGCTGGACTGCCGATTTAAATGTCCGTTCTCCACCATATTAGAGTAAAAAGGTATTTTATTTACCTTTTCTCTATTCAAGTGCTGGTCTTGACATGACTCGCCCCACTTTTCTCTGAAAAAGCAATGTTTACGTTGCTGAGCCTGCAGAAGCAGAACCACTACATTAAAGGAACACTATAGGGTCAGGAACACAAACTTGCATTCCTGACCCCATAGTGTTAAAACCACCATTTAGTTGGCTGCCCTTGCCCCCTTAAAAAGGGTTAAAACATACCTAATTTCCAGGTGTCTGCAAACGCAGGTCTCGCCCCCGATCCACATCGTTGTCTGACATCAGAATTGATGATATAAACCAATCCAATGCTATCCCACAGGAAAAGCATTGGATTGGCTGAGATCATCAAGGAGGCGGAGTGGGGTCATACACCGCCCTGGCCAATCAGCATCTCCTCATATAGAGGCATTGAATCAGTGCATCTCTAGAAAGAAAGTTCAGCGTCTGTGCAGCACTGCCCTAGGAAGCACTTCCAGTGGCCATCTTTTCTCTGAAAACACAGTGTTTAAAAGCCTGCAGGGACTGACTATACTCACCAGAACAACTGCATTAAGCTGTAGTTGTTCTGGTGACTATAGTGTCTGTTTAATTGTTGCAAATGAAAATTGAAATGTCTAGCTCAGAACTCTCATTCTGGGCTAGCTGATTGACAGGTTCCACAGCTGGAGTTACACCTCAGCTAAAAACCTAAATATCTCTGATCTGGCATCAGTATGAAACCATGCAAGGACGGACTCCATGTATTCTGTCCATATTAGTGGTAATAGTGCTTAGAGTAGCTCTTTAGTTATTCTTACTGTCTGTTGTTTTTTCCTGTCCCATAAGCCAAGAAAGAAGGTGCTACCCATTAGTGATACTGCCATTGAAAGCCTCTGGTAACTAATTAACATGTCATAGGTATGTTAGCTAACCCTCCCTGCACCCGTGCCTTCTAATGTGACTTTGCCTATTAACACTGTCTGCATAATTTAGAACTTCCCTCCTTTCCAATGCTAACTACAACCCCCTTAGAATGTATGAGTGTTAGAAGGGGAGAAGAGGTCAAATATTCAAATAATATAATAATAAACAAACGGTGAATAACAGACCCCATAAACATACATTTTTTTGTTGTTGTTGTTTTATTTATTTATTTAAGCAAAAGATGAAACCTGCAAGCCAGCAGTCCTGCAACATTTCATATCAGATGAGCAGTAAAAAGTAAGTTACTCTATTAATTTACTTTCCTTAACGGTAATGCGGTCCATAATTTAAATATACCCATGTAAGAATGATCTTAAAATGTACCTGTGATGCAAAAAAGTGTATGTGTGGCTGTAGCTGAATAGAATATGTTGCATTTATTTATTTTTTTGTTTGTTGTTGCCTTTCCAACTACGTCAGTTGCGTAAAGGAAGAAATAAAGCAAATATGGGCACTCTTGTTTGCCAGGCTTAAAATGCTTATAAAAAGAATAACGAGGATCTCCTCATATATATTGATCTCCTGATTAATCTCCTCACCATTCAACTCTTCTCATTCCTATCGGGTAGTGTTCACAATACAAATTCGCACTTACTATTATTGCCGTTTATATAGCGCCAACAGATTCCGTAGCGCTCACAATATTATAGGAGGGGGGATTTAACTATAAATAGGACAGTTACAAGAAAACTTACAGGAACGATAGGTTGAAGAGGACCCTGCTCAAACAAGCTTACAGTCTAAAGGAGGTGAGGTTTAAAAAACATTAGGACAGGAAATAGCAATCAAACAAGGTGGAGTGAAGCAGAGCTGGAGGAGAGTGTAGAGTGCTGCCCTTTAGGAGAGAGCAAGAGACAGGTATGTGAGGTAGAGGTTACTCTTAGTAAGGAGTAAAGCATTTAAGCACTGACAAAGCGCCCACGGACTCCAGGCACCATAACCACTTCAATCAGTTAAAATGGTTATTGTGCCCATGGTGTTCCTTTTAAGCAGTTCTTGTAATTCTCACATTATATAGATTAACAGTTCTACTTTAATTTTATGACATGACAGGAGGCTTCGTATTTTGCTTAAGACTTTCTTTACTTAAGCTTCACAGCAGCACTTTTTTAACATAGTAACAGGATAACCAATCAGAAAAAAGATGAGGTATAACAGTCCCTCCTCCCTCATTTTATGCTCCTTTTCAGACCTCATGTTGGTTTTAGTTCCCCCAGGAAAATCTTCTCTACTCACCATAGGGATGTTTCACTCTGTAATGCCAGTTCCATGAGGGTTATGGCATATACTGACTCCCCCTGGTGGTGAATTGAAAATACTACATTGACCAAATCATATATTATTGAATTCATATTACACTACTTCCATACCGTTATGTTGGGAGAAACCCCCAATATCATTCAGCCAAATATTTTATCACATTAATACTTTGAGTTTTTAAGGGTAAATCCCTAAATAAGATTTATGATTGCTGTTAAGTTATACAGCCCATGACTGGCCCGCTTTGCCTGTGCCACCATACCTCTACACGGGCTTGAATAATTACTCCCGGAGGATATTTATACTGGGTGACCCCCAATTGCAACTTGCACTGTGGAATTTTAAAATATTGTGATCTATAAAAACGGCCCTAAAATACATTCTAATGCTGGCCTATTCTGCCCCATAGGTACCAACACTGTTGCTATGGAGGCTTCAAACCAAGATCAAAACTTGCAAGCAATTATAAATGCGGCTGTTGTCGCTTCACTAGAAAAGGCCCTGGCTCGGGTGCTGCCCATTGAGCCAAAAGATCTTGAAACCTCTGAGCCCCCGCTTTCTGATGAAGATGCGGATGATTCCACAAAAAAGAACCCTTCCAAATCCAATAAATGATATTGGAAAGGGGATGGGCCAGAACCACTCAAACGCAAGGGGAAAGAACCGGCGAAACGTCACAAACAGGCGGACGCTAAAGAGAAACACTCCGTCCAGCCAACTCTGTCGGAACAGGAGGAGGACTCTTTCGACTTACACCCCTTGGCCATTCTAGATGAATGGCAAGCTGGCCACTCTTCAGAAGACGAAGAGGACTGGCCTGAGACTTCTTTCAGAGGAGCACCTTTCCCTCAAGATACTATGGGAGACCCCACGACGGAGGATATGGTACCCGGATCGAATCCACCAGGGGACGCTGAATCCTTTCTGGATACGCTTGGTCAACCTCTATTTGACCTGCAAAACATTAGATATCCTCGGTCATCAGAATGGTCACTCCCAAACCATCTCTCCCAGTATATCCATTTCTGGTTCAGGAGACCCCTAGACCGGGAGGTCCGCAAGCGCCTAAGAGCTGAATGTCCTAGGCCTACTCTGCCGGACAAGGTCGCTATGACTCCGGAGTTTGATACGCTGCTTTACACATATCTAGCCAGATCTGGCCGTGACCCAAAAAAGGGCATTGAACGCAGCCTACGCCTCACCTAGGGCAAGATGTTAGATATCCTGAGGTCCCTGGCGAAAACCACTGGCTGATGAAGCCCTCTCTAATGAGGGTCCTTTAGACCCATCTGTGATAAGAGAATGGGCACTATGCTCCATTTGCCTGCTGGGCAATGCAAATACATCCCACTGTACTGAGCGTAGAAAAGCAGTGCTGCTGCGCATGGATGCCAAATTAGCCGACTTGGGAACCAAAGAATTGGGCCCCAAGGCCAAGGGTCTGTTATTTGGAGAACCCTATATTAAAGAGTTACACAAACATGTAAATTTATACGCTACACTGAACAAGGCGCAGTCATCCATGAAAAGAGTATTTCAGCAACAACCCTCACGGGTTTTTGGCAGGGCTGGCCGTACAAGGGGTAGTGCAGTCAGCCATTTCTGGGCCACAAGCCAACGCCAGCGACCCCCCCCCACTTCATCGTTCTTCCCCAACTATCAATCAAGGGGCTTCTACACCCAAAGGGCGGATAGTGGAAGCGGAAGCAGAGCCCGTGGACGCAACAGATACCCAACAAGTGAGATTTCCTACCTTTCACTTTTCTACGGTTTATCATGTGGGCAGGTTGTTACATTGTCTAAACACAGTTCGGAGTTATTCCATAGAGTTTTATTCTCTTCCTACTCGAACAGGTTCTCTTCATTACCCGATAATGTCAAAATCTCAAAGTATCCTTCTCGATTCAGAACTACGTTCCCTACTAACTAACTAAAGGAGCGATTCAACTCGCTCCACACAACGAAGTCTTTCTCAGTTCCATCTTCTTGGTCAAAAAGAAATCAGGGGAATTCCACCCGGTAATCAACCTTCGCCAATTGAATACCTTCGTGATATACAGGCATTTCAAAACAGAAGGGATACATCTCCTCAGAGACATTCTCCGACCAGGCGATTGGTTCACCCGACTTGACCTTAAGGATGCTTACCTCTCCGTACCAGTACATCCATCCAGTCAACGTTTCCTCTGCTTTTTTTTGGCACCACCGGATTTTCCAATTCACCTGCCTTCCATTCGGCCTGAGTTCCGCTCCGTGGTGCTTCACCAAACTGCTCAAGCCAGTCATCGCACATCTTCGAGCAAGGGGCATTCGCTGCTTAATCTAACTCGACGACCTCTTGCTACTCTGCGACGATGCATCCAGACTACGATCACAGACGAACTACACATCCTCATTGATCGAATCCTTGGGGTTTGTCATCAACCAAGTGAAATCATCACTGTCCCCATCCCAAATCATACAATTTCTCGGCTTCGAGATCGACTCCTCCACCTTTGTTCTTCGCCTGCCTCAATCCAAGTTAACTTCGATCAGGAAGGAACTACGCAAGACGTTTCGACAAGTGGATCTATCTCTCAGAATTTTAGCTCGGATCGTAAGCCTGCTTTCTGCTTCCATTCAGGCAATCTACCCAGGTGCCCTTCACTATCGGCCATGCAACGATTCAAAGCTCAATTCCTCCAGACCCATCCATCATACGACCAGAGGGTCTCGATCACTACCAAGGTGAGGGAGGAACTCTACTGGTGGCTCCGCCACATGTCTGCCTGGAGCGGCAAAGCAATTTTCGGCCCCACTCCAGACTTTGTGGTGGAATCAGACGTGAGCCTCCAAGGCTGGGGCGCAACTTGTCATACAACCTCCACCGGGGGACCATGGACCGCCGCAGTACACTTTCTCCACATCAATTGTCTGGAGTTAATCGCAGGCTCATTTGCAATCCGCAGTCTGCCCAATCACCTCTCAGGCTGTTGTATTCTCCTTCGAATGGACAATATCTCAGCTGTCCAATACATCAACAAATTGGGTGGGGCCAGATCTTGCACCCTCTCCGAAGTGACAAAGGACATCTACAATTTTTGTTTCCAACGCAACATCACACTTCGGGCAGAATACCCCACCGGGGGAGACTAACATTACTGTGGATTGGTTCTCCCGACATTGGAGAGACGGCAGCGACTGGCGCCTTCACAGATCCGTTTTCTTCCACGTCTCCAAACTCAGGGGCCTGTTTATTCTGGACCTGTTCGCCTCCCAGACGATTTTTCAAGTCCCACGGTTCTTCAGCTGGCTACCAGACCCAGAATGCTCGGCAGTAGATGCCTTCCTTCAGAAGTGGCCGACGACGGGAGCCTACGCCTTCCCTCCGTTTGTGATGATTCCAAGAGTCCTCCAGATTTGCAGACAACATGTCATGCTTGTACTACTCACCCCGCTCTGGCAGGGCCAAGCATGGTTCCCGGATGTCCTGGACCTCTCCTGCCAACATCCCCTCCTTCTACCTCCATGGCCCAACCTCCTAGAGGACCCTCAAGGAAACCCTCATCCGATGATAATACAAGGC